ACCTTGGACATTTAATAAACGGAATAAAGCCAACAAAATTAAAGCCATCTTTAACTATCTAAACCATCAAAGACTTTCGCATATCAGGAAATCCGAATGAAGTAAAATCATACCTAAATAGGTTATTATCGAAATTTTATACGTAATTTCTTCAAAATCGCAAAATAACTAACAGACCTTACAAAGAAAGATACACCTTACCATTGGACTGGCAAACAACGAGTGGCATTTGACGAACTGAAACAAAAAATTCTTTGTGAAGAACCAGTATTTTTCCCAGATCCGAACACCCAAATTTTTCGAAACAAATAACATTAACCACAGACGCTTCAAACGACGAACTAGGAGCTATACAAAACGGATACGCATGCTGTTACATATCTAGAATACTTAATGCATCAGAAAGGAATTATAGTGCGACAGAAAAAGAATTCTTAGCAATCATATGGACAATCAAACGACAAAGACAATAGCTACTTGGAAATTTATAATTTGTACTGACCATCAAGCAAATGGTTACAAAACGTTAAAGATCCTTCCTCATCACTAAAGCGATAGAGACTTAAACTCGAAGAATATGACTACGAAAATGAATACACAAAAAGAAAAGACAATCTGGATTTGAGATAAAACAGTCGATGCTTTTAATGTCGATGCTCAAATCCATGTTACACAAAAAGAAACTGACGAATCCCGCGACTTAGAAAATAGCACATTGAAAACTGAAAACGGTACACATGACTAGTATCAGAATACGACATTCGGAAGACAGATCCAACACCAATACCAATACCTCTTACGAATATTCCGAATTTATTTCTATACACTCAACTAACCAAAGACAAATTATGTGAACATAACGAAAACAAATGGTTTCTAAAACTATACGACATTATGAAGACGGAAAATGAAAAGAAATTATAGTACATAAGATTAGGAATAAACGATCTGACATTAACACCTCTAAAACGCGTTAACATTAACGATATGATTAATAATACGATTCCCAAGCATAAAATTTAACAAACTAGTAAAGTTTTCACATGATTCACCGCGTGAATATTCGGAAAACGACAAAAAAATACGTCTTAGCGAATCACACTCAGGACATAGTACACAAAATTTTGACGAACGCTCGCTAGACTAAAAGAAAAGCACAACTGGAAACACATCGAACGAGACGTTAAAGAATTCATCAATAAATGTGACATATGTCAACGTAAAAAATTAACTCGTATACGAAAAAGAAGAAGCTGTAATAACCGACACATCGATCGAGCGCAACGAGAAGATTTCCCTCAATATATTCAGACCCTTACCTAAAACCCGTTACAATAATCAGTTTATATTATCCATACAAGATCAATTAACCAAATTCCTAATGTTTTGTACCTCTACCAAACAACAACAACAAGCAGTGACAATAATACCGAAACACATCAACAGCTACATTTACATATTTTCCTCACTAAGCACATTCTTCCAGACAAAATGAACAAAACTTTGTATGTCAACTCATAGAACATTGAAAAATAACAATTTGAAAAAGAGATCAGACACATAGAAACCACATCCTTTTACTCTTAATTAAACGGTTCGCTTGAAAGAACACATGCCACAATCAAAGATTTAATTCCAATTAGCATGAAAAAAAAAAAAAATGACTGGGACAAAAATTTAAATCTAATACGCATGGGTTATAATACATCAGTTCACGAAGCAACAGGGTACACACCTTTCGCGTTTGGACGCAAAGCGAATATGCCTTAGATAATATCCACAACTCTTAGCATGACCCGCGAAGAATTATTTAAACTTTGGAAAAAACGACACGAGAAATATCTGCAGAAAGTCCGAAGTTTTTTCAGAAACACTCAGAAAAAATAAAGCTCGGTATAAACGACAGCAAGATACGCAAATCATCCAAACACAAAAAACAATATTTAATATTGAAAACAAAGTATATAACTCCATAACGATCATAAAAAAAACAATATTCAATATTGAAAACAAAGTATATAACTCCATAACGATCATAAAAAAAACAAACTGGATTCAAAATGGAAAAAGTTGTCCAAGCAAATCCTCCCAATTATATTATTAAATTCCCTGACTCTCAAGACAGTAAAGTAGACGGCAAGATCAAAAACTTTATCTCTCTGTTTCAGGATAACTCCAATAATTCTTGCATTACTCATACCTTCAACACTATGTACATTCACGCCATCAAACGAATCTTCCATATTTTTAGAAAATTTAGGCCTCGTACACCTCTATCACAAAATTCTAAATAGACTACAAGTATACTTTGAAGTCCGCACGCGAAGTCAATAGGTCGTTACAAACTTTAGAAAGAGAATATTATAAAGATTGTACTGTCGCATCAGAAATAACTATACTCAAAAGATCAGGAGAAAAACATCATTCACTCAGAAAGATCACTACATGTCAGAAACAAACGAGGAGTACTTAATTTCATAGGCATCATCTCGGAAACTTTATTCGGAACTCTCATAATATATGGAGTTAGTAAAGCTGAAGTTTTCAATTGTTTAGAAGAATTATGCAAAATCAGCATTAAGATCTGCTGGCCCAAGATAACCCAGAGAAACAATTCTGTACCGTCAGCACCTTCCACGACCCACCATTATCACCCTATCGACGTTTTGCTACAAAATGAATTTTGCAACAAAAACTACAAGAAGTACTTTAAAAATCCTTGGCTATAGAACTACTACACCTTTAGGTCAAACGACTTTTGAAGGACCAAAACGAGTCTATGAAGGGGGGGGGGGGTCATACGTTCTATGCATCATATGTTCTATGTGTCACATGGCCTATATGACCATCTATAAGCCATCCCATTTTCAAAATTATGATAATAGTCAAAATGATAATAGTCCAGTAGTCCAATAAATACAGCCCGAAAAAATAAAGAAAGCAGTCTGTGAAATCTTAAAACTCCCACAGACATTAAAACATGCTGCGATGCGTGCATCAATTCCTAGGTTTCATGAAAGCTTGCCTCCACACATCGATTCTTCAGTTTTCCGTGCGACGTCAACGTTTAAACACGTGTTTCAACAAATGCTGGCTCGTTTTTCAGTTCTAATATTACTGTTAGTAATAGGAGATTTATTATTATTTACAAAAAATAAAAATAAATTAAATACTAAAAAGAAATGGGCAAAAAGATTAGTTTAGAGGGTTAGTTCAGAGAAATAGATTTTTCAATTTTGCATTATTAAAAGAGGTAAAGACAACTGAACCTTGTGATTATAGAAATTATCTGTATATGGATGACTCTGCTTTTTATTATCTGTTGGAGGAGAATTGAAATTTGTATTATCTATTCAAGAAGGATTTTTATTATCTGTTTAAGGATTGAAAAAAGAAAGGAAACAGAAATTAACAAATAATTTTTGTAATTCTTTCCAACTAAAAACCTTGTAACTTTTTAACTAAAAACCTTAGTGTTGCAAATAGTTTTTCCTCTGCGCTAGCTGCAGCTCTCATGGCTGTA